TTTTGTTATATAATAAGAAATTAATTAAACCGAAATTCGCTCTGGGAAAAATAGTATAAAATTTTCCTCAAACCCAGCAAAAGTGGATAAATGAATGAAGTGTTCTAAAAATTTGTGAATCACATCTATCTTATTCCAAGTTTTGTAATTTTTCTCTCTAATTCTACTCTATAGTTTTTTACATAGAGAATTATTAGTTCACAGTAGATATAAAATAATAGCAGATTGCGTGGTTGATAACAAATTATTTTTGATATTAATCAAAATTACATCTGATGTTTCTCCAAAAATTCCAATCTTTTGTTAAAGCTGATCTATTATTGTTGAGTCTTCTAGCATTTATATTGCTTGCACATACAATTGAATAGACAAAAAAAGAAGTCAGAGAATCATCTATTTCTCCCATTGCCTGCTTCCTAAAAAATTTTCAGATAAGCTTTAGCCACCACATATTTTCTGATTCGGTGAACACCTCGGAATGATGGCTCTGGCATTTTATGGTTTGTTTGCTTTTTGTGACTGCGATATCTGAAATTTCTGCCACACCCTTCTCATTCAATTGTAATTTAATTCTGAAATAGTAATTTTCAAAATTTGTGCCCTTTTTTAAATCGAGACAACGTGGTATATATAACCTTCGGTTGACATTTTATATTTATCTTTCTGGTTCCATTATTTACATGATACTGAAACAAACTGGACTTATAACCTTTTACATTTTTTATTTATTAGTAATATATATAGGAATATGATACATATGTACATGCATACATACATGTATATATATATGTACGCATCACTTGCATACGTCCTTATATACAGTCGTATGTTACATATATACAATATATATTGTATATATATATTACACTACATACAATATCTTTGGAATATTATGTTTATGTATGTACCCCGAACGTAGTGATCGGCTGACGCAACAATGTGAACAAAAAAAAGGCGCGGCGCACACCAGCGCCAATTACTAGCATACATACTATGTACTTTCAAATAAATACTACATACGTATTTATACTAATTTCCTATGCCAATTCGATTATCCATTTTATAATATGATATGTTATACTGTAGCATACACAACTAAATGTTTTTGCAAGAGTGACATAGAATTTGATTGATTCATATTCGTGCATGTGCACTTTTACATATGTACGTACACGCAGCTTCGAATATGTACATTTTTTTGTACATATGTACAATATATACGTTTCATAAATTTAATACTTTTACATTCAGAAAATGATTGTAGATAATAAGTAATGTCGTTAGAACGGTTAAATAGAACCGACCGTAAAATAATATACCCTGTACTTCATTCTGATTTTGTTTCACAAAAGTGAAGAATAATCCTGGACAATGCAGAAACCTTCAAATTTAGCGGGTCAGAGTTGCGCGAACCCGCCGCTAGATCTCGCTTCTGTCGGGCTACATTACCTCCAACCCATAATGCATTGAGCTACGGCATGTGCCTTTCTGTGTCGGCCATTTTGTAGTTTCCTTGAGAAATTGTGTTGAGTTGATTCATCTTCTCGGTAAGAATTTTATAAAATTCTAAAACGGCGCGAATCACATTGATCCAAATGATGTAGAGGATTGAGGGCAGATGCTTATGGCTAACTATTCATAGCTTGAGAACGAGGAATAAGGTTGCGTTTTTTGCGCACAACCGTGTGCGCTCACGGTACTTACACCCGAAGAACGAGCCAGTAAACGAAGCTGCCGAGAACACCTATTGATAAAGGCACATGGAATCCGGGATTGTTTCGGGATGAATGGTGATTTCGGTAACGATATACGATACGCATAAGTGTACTGTCCAAGTGGTTGTCACCATATCTGCGTGCGTGAACGTGTTGGCCCGGCCAACGTCTCGCTCTATATTTGGCTAATCGCATCCAACATATTGCATATCTTGCCTTTTCAAAATTTTTACTTTCCATGCTGTAACCTTTCCCAAAGAACTATATCAGAAGGATACAATGTGACGTTTAAGTGTGAATGCTTGACGATTACACATTGATTCTGAACGAGAGCAAATCTTAGCATGTGGCACGGTTTGTACGATCAACATTCTATTTTGACTTCAATCAGAGTCAATGGAACATTTCATTTTTCATTGCATATTCAAAGTTTCATTGTTCTATTGTACGCCCTTCGTTTAGATTCGAAAATTTATCGTCCAAAACTTCTAGTCCCATAATGTCGTAAAAATGTTTGAACCTTTAATTTTCATGTTTATTGTTCCCTTCATAGTCGTTATAGATATAATATAAGTTTGTATAATTTGAATACGCGTATATATATATGTATTTGAGCACGCACACACGCCCGCTTGCCCGCGCGAGCGCGCGCGCGCGGGCGCATACACGCACGCATACATGTACCACGTCGTGCATACGTATTATGTGCTATTGAACATGAGTGCGCGCGCGCGCGCATTGTACGTGCAACACACTTACACATGCCAATTACGTATATATACGAACGCGTTCATGTATGTGTACACGAGTATATATATAGGTACTACAAATGTATTACATCAGACTGGTATGTTGCATTACATACGGTTAATCATAATTTCAAAAAGTCCCTTCACAATATGACTTTGTGTATCAAATTTTGAACCTTGTCATCATTAATAATAGATTAGTGTGTAAAATTATCCGCAAAAAGTGCACAGTCTCAAAGAAAGTTATGCCTTATTTAATGAGTGTACATATACAATAATGTAAACAAATATTTTTTCCTTTAATGTAAAGTTAAGAAAGGGCAAGAGGTCATTTCCAGAATTATTGATTTGTTTCATTGCTCATGAAATAACTTTATAATTACTTAAAGAGCAAGATCGTGTCGGTAATTGCAAGAAAATAATTTTCTAATTTCATCACAATTATGCTTCAGACAATTACTTCATGCTATTTAATGTTGTTTAATTACTTAGGTTACTGTGTATATATATATACATATATCGCACATCGTTGAGGACATCATTCGATTTCATATGTTACATTAAGATATGGTTTAGACTTGAACATTTTATCAATAACTTGTGTAGTTATATGTTACATGTGGTAACATGTAAGTACAATCTATAATGGATTGTTGGTGGTATTCATGGGATATGTTACCATCTTGAGTTACTATCTTATTCAATATACTTTTTATTTTCGATAGGGTACGTGTACATGAATGGGGACATTGGGAAGCTCCAACCAGGGGCGGTTTATCCAGCCACCCCTGAACCCTTGGGTTCAGTTGGGGGTGCAATTGGAAATACTGCAACCAATTTGGAATACAACGCCATGAACGGTGCTCCAAGCGGAACTGAATTAATATTAGAGGCAGGAGTTGGAAATTTGGAACCTTCACCACAGCATGCCATAGGTTTAGGAGGTGCTGCAGGTTACGGTCCAGTGGATGTTGCTGCTTTAGGTGATGTGCCAAATCAAACTGCTCCAATGGCTGATTTATCATCCTCTGGAATACCCTTGGAACAATTAAAACAAATGCTCTCTTCCCAACTTGAATATTACTTTTCCAGGTAATTATAATCCAATCACGATATTATATTATATTTGTGAGCAGGGATAGTGATCCTTGAATTGTCTGTCAAGGTTGAGTAACGATGATATTATCCTCTTATATTACCTACCTTTATTATTAGTCTTGATTTTGTATTATATTTCAAAAATTTGTATTATATTTCACTACAATTTATTAATACTGTAAATATTAAATGTATGTATATTACTAACATTTTGTCTTGTAATTTTGTTTGCATTCTACTTTGCTAGAATTACTGAATAAGTGAAATTCATGTTCATTATGAGTGAGCATTTATTATGAAGGTTGAATATTTGACTAAAGATATAGTATTTCACTTCATTTTCAGCAAATTAAGTAACATTAATATTAGTAAGTTGGTTTGGAA